GACTGGTCCCGCCCCCGCCCGGAGAGTGGGCTGGTCCGGCCCCGCCCCGCGAGCGTGCTGGTCCCGGCCCGCCACGCTGCCGTTCTTGGCCGCTCGCCCACCCGCGCTGTGGTCCTGTCCTGGCACTCTTGCTTTCTCCTCTTCTTAACGCTCCTCGTTCTTCATCTAGCTCGCTCTAAGGCTCAGACTGTTCGCTTGATCTCCTCTCCCGTCTCTTCGGTTGACATCCCCCCTCATTTCTCTCCCTTTTCCTCCTGCCTTCGCCTGTCAATCACGTGGAAACAGCCTGGTTCTCAGAGTTTGGACCCTAGCCAGTATCTTGAGCTGAACTGTGAACGTAATTCTTCTCCCGCAGATAGTTAACGGCCCGTCTCAGTGCGCCGTTAGGGTGTGTGTTGGGCGGTCCTAGGCTGGGGAGCCACAGCTGCGCTCCGAGGTCAGGACGTTCTGTCGGGACAGACGGCAGTGAGTAAAGATGAGCAGGGACACTCCGGCTGACTCACGACACGGGCGGCAGGAGGCATTAGTGGACAGACAGGGCCCAGAGATGACCCCACCCCACCCTGGCCTGGCCAGCTGGGGGGAGGGCAGGGTTAGGGCCCAGGGGACTCACCTCCTCTAGAGGTGCCGCGAGGGGCGTGGGGGTAGGAAAAGAAATAGCTGCCGTCATCCTAAGGGGGGGGCTACTGGCTTGCTTCTTCCTGGAAAGTCAGCTCCACTGAGGAAATGAGAGAGAAACTGTTCCCAGGAACTAACACGCCCTTCCCTGAAGACTGTCTCCAACCACAGGATTGGGAAACAGCTGTCGCGTGGACCAGGCGAGCTGGAAGGGCGGCAGGGTTGGGTGAAAGCAGCTCAGAAGTCACCGTTCTGCTCAGGGGAGTGTTATGCTCGCCCTCCCCAGCTTGGCGGTGGAGCCGTTGCCAAGACAGCGGGGACAGTCCGGGCCTCTGGTGCCATAGACAGTGTGAAAGCCCAGCAGGAGAGGAGGTTGACAATACGGCAGCCTCGTCAGCACCCCAGGATGCCCAGCTCTGGGCCCTGGGCCTGCGCTGCCCCTTGTGCTCTGCAAGTGTGCAGGGCTGACGGTCCCTACCCAATGACCCCTGCACCCCGACAGCCTGTGCTCCCGCCCAGAAAAAGGGCCTTTCTGTAAGGCACCTGCCCAGACGGAGCTGCCATCTGCAAATGGCACAGTGGAGGTGGGAGTGGAGGCGCACAGCGGAGCCCCGGCAGGATAGAGCAGCAGCGTGGTACCTCACGGTCTGATGACCGCCAGATACCACGGGCACCATGCTGGCCACACCGGGGTCTGTGTGTCTGTGCACAAGGCAGCGGCAGGACACAGCAGCCTGGCCCCTCAGTGCCCCCGGTGAGGCCTCTGCAGGGTCTCTCCCACCGGCCTCCGTGCCCTCTCCAGGAGGAGATAGTCCCCAACTCCCGACTCATCACGTGGCCAGCTCAGGCTCAGGAGGGAGGGACTGGAAGCTGCCAGATCTTCTGAGGAATGTCCCGTCCCACGCATTCCAGCCATCAAAGTAAACCTCGCCCAGCCCGGATCCAGGAGGGAGGGCTTGGGGCTGTCCCGGCCGGCCGGCCGGCTGGCACCTGGAGAGAACGTGGGTGGTGACCAGCCTGTGCGTGTCCTGGTGGAGTTCTGCTCAGGGGCATTGCTGAAGAGGATGCCACTCACCTTTCAGATACAGGGCTCGGTGCCCCTTAGACCTCTCACTGCAAGTTATAAAACCCCAACTCAAATAGACTTGTAGAGAAGAGGTCATTGGCTCATTCGGTGTGACACAGCTCACGCTCAGGCAGCTCTCGGTCCAGAACCTGCCTCAGAGATAGGCTCCAGGGCACTGCGTAATGAGCTGCTCAAGAGAGGCCAGACCCCACCTGGAACCGCAGGGCAAACCCCCCGCAGGCCTGCCCTGGACACACTGGGCACACCTGCAGGTGCCCGAGACCCCTCGGCCTGGAGGACCAGCAGACTGGAGGGAGAGTGTCCGCTGTGACCAGACTGCAGAGGGTGCTCCCCTTACACGTGCTGTGTGGTGCGCGGTGCTGCCCCACGTGGAAGGTTCTGCTCACGTCTGCCCACCCTCAAGTGTGTCGGGCCAGCTCGCACCATTGATCTGAGGCTGGGGGCCGGGGGAGGGTGAGGTCAGAGCGCATGCTTTCTCGCTCCTGAGCTCACGCGCTCTCCCTCTAGCTCTTGGAGGAAATAAACAAGCTTCAACAATTCTTAGCAAGGAACAGAAACCAGTCTGGCCCCCTCATCTTCCTCTGCTCCCCTCCCTTTGGCCCCTCGTTCGCAGGAGAGAGGGCCAGGAGCACCTGGAGCTTATTGGACGAGCTGCTCCGACTCCGTGCAGCGGAAGCCCAGAGCACGCTCTCAGGGGCCAGGCCGCGCCCTGGCTGTACCCCTGCAGCCAGGTGGAGGCAGTGTCTGGGGGCCAGATGCATCAAGTCGGGAGGCTGACTCGTAGAGGTCAGCCGGGCTGGGCTGGGTGGAAGGCAGCAGAGTGCAGCTCACCGCTCTGTGAGGGCAGCTGGCTCCTGCCCTTGTCCCCAAAGCACAGCCTTGCAGGCGACGTGGTGGCCACCTGCTCTCCTGCCCTCCCAGCCTGGTTGGGGGTGCGAGCCCCACTCCTGTTCGTGCCACTCTGCTGCGCCCTGGGTTTGCTTTGAGGTCTTTTCCTGCAAGTGCTCCCTGATTCCTTGTTCTGTGAAAAGACTCTCGCCCCTCAGCCCCACGTGGACGTGACCTGGGATGGACGTGGGGCTGTCGGGAGAGCTCCTCCAGGGGGCGCTAAGCTGGGGCACTGTAAGTGGGTGTGGCCAGCACCATCCTCATCCTCTGCCACGTGGAGAGATGAGCCGGGAGACACCACCCGGTGCGTGGGGGCTGCTGAGCGTCGACCTCCTGATTTGGGGCTTTGGGGGCTTCTCTCATTTACACTCAAACTAGTTCTGGCTCAGTGCTCAGTAAACGTTCGGCTGGACAGATGCATGGGTGAGTGACCGGGCTCGGGCGACGTCCCGGCTCGCTGGGCTTGCTGGGACACCCATTAGGAGCTGGAGATCCACAGCATTGGGAACGCGGGGCCAGGGCCGCAACCTCTGGGTCCAACAGCTGCTGTTGCCGGCTCCCGAGAGCAGCGGGTGGATGAGACGGAGGCAGTATCAAATTCACAGGAGGCCGCCCAGCAGCCGTGCACCAGGGGCGCGGGTGGTGAACCCCAGCCCTCCACACGCAGGTCGCCTGTTGGACCCAAAATCAGGGCCCCCGCTCTCCAGGTGTGGAGGCTTCATGGCTGGCGACCAGCCCTGATGACTGCAGCCCCCCCTCCGGCACAGGGCCAGGACGTGGACACGCCTTGGTGGACCGGCGCCCTCTGTGAGCTCCAGGCCTCCGGCCATGGTGTCCTGAGGTGGGGCCTGGTGTAACAAAGGCCCAGCTGAGCCCTAAGTCCCTGGTCCAAGTACTGGCCTGTGATCTACTGGAAGCCCAGCTAGAGCGCCTGCAAGAAAAGATGGGGGCGGGGACCAGCAGATGGCGCAGTGGTCACGTTGTTGGACTCCTGCGCTGTCGACCGCGGTTCCAGTCCCAAACTCGGCAGCTTAACAGTCACACTGGGCATGTGCGTGTGCGTGCCCAGGATCCTGAGAGGAGAATGGAGGAGAAGGGACTGTGGTATGGCCACCCCCTGGGACGGATTTCTCGCTTTCTGTATTTCTCTCTCTGGCCAGTGCATGCGCCCTGTAGCAGAAATCTCTCAGGAAAAGAGGAGGGGGCGCTAATTGGGCCAACTAGCTCTAAAAGGCCAGAAAGCGCCTCTGAGTTTCAGCTGTGGCTTGATCTGGGTGTACTGCCCCTCAGTTCTGCTCACCTCCACGATGACTTATCACCCAGGGCCGTCTGAGGACAGAAATCTGACTGCCTTTTCCTATTTCCAAAATCCCTTCCAAAGGGCCGGGGGTGAGTCATGCCCACAGACTTAACATGCCATTCTGGCCCATTCGATAGCAGATCTTCCTACATCCTGTCCCTGGCGTAGCGTCCCCATACCGGTGAGTCATGCCCACAGTCACTGACAGACCATTCCTGACTCACTGTTAACAGGAGTCCAACACCCTGTCCTTGGGACAGTATCTCGTAACTGTACACAAGCCCCTTATCCGTTACTAATCCCTTCCCCAAACCCTGCCTTTTTGGGCCAGACCAGTGGAAATTCTAAATCCTGCCTCACTCTCAAAATCAAATGAAAGGACCCCCGTTCCTGATCACCCCTAGAGAAAGGCATGTTTTGCTCCTCTCCGGGCCTACATCACTCAAATTCGTGCTTAAGAAATAAACTGCATTAATCCAGGCAGTTAGCATAATGGCTATGTCACTGGACTCCCATGTCATTGACTGAGGTTCAAGTCCCGGACCCAGTGGCTTAAACTCATCCTGGGCACATGTGCGTGCGTGCCCAAGATCCCGAGAGGAGAATGGAGGAGGGGCGATTGTGGCATGGCCATCCCCCTTGGGGGTGATTTCTCGCTTTCTGTCTCTCTGTCTCTCTCTGTCTTTCCAGCGAGCATACGAGCCCTATATGCAAAAACCTCTCCAAAAAAAGAAGAGAAAAGAAATAAGCTGTGTTAATTACTTTGCAGGATTGGTTATTTCCGCTGACAGATCAAAGCAACATTGATAAGCTCCGATAAGGTTTCAGCAGTATTACAGGAGCTTCCACCAACAATGAGCAAGCATCCCGGGCTTGCCTTCACGTCCATACCTAAACCAGACACGCCTTCAAGGGGCCTGTTGTACCAGCCAGGAAGCAGCCGCCCGCCCGCTCCTGGAGCTGGGTTGTCCCCAGCTCACCTGCACGTGTATGGGAAGTGTGGGGACCTGGGGCAGGGAGGGTGCCACTTTGGAGGAAAGGGGATAGAAGCGGAAAGGCAGAGAGAGGCAGAGGTCCGAGGCCACCCTGCTGTGTCCCCAGGCACCTTTCTTGCCCAGGTCTCACTCCTGGTACTCACAGTCATGAGAGGATGCCTCATGCCTCTGAGGTGTGTGTGTGCGTGTGTGTGTGTGTGTGTGTGTGCGCGCGTGACAGGGGCTTCCTACACACAGCTGCAGTCCTTGCAGACCCGCCTCGCAGAATTCATGGCAGGGGAAGGCAGCGAAGCATTTCTAAGCTGCGTTATTTTTAAAAGATTAAACCACCTTCAGGACCAGCAGATGGCGCAACGGTTACGTGGCTGACTCCCACATAGTTGACCGCAGTTCAAGTCCTGAACCTAGCAACTTAAAACTCCCACGGGCATGTGTGTGTTTACGCCCCAAATCCAGAGAGGAGAATGGAGAAAGGATTATGGTGTGGCCATCCCCCTGGGGGTGACTTCGCACTTTCTGTCTCTCCAGTGAGTGCACATGCCCTATAGCAAAAATCTCTCTCAAAAAAGGGTTAAACTGCCTTTCACACTGTTAAAGATTA